TGGCCGATATACAAATACGCTTGACAAGGATTCCTCCTTGTTCGCCGAAATCCGGACGGAATTCTCCATCGTTAAGAGGGTATAACGTCCCAGCAAACGACTGTTTCCGGGTGGCCACATTCGACGGTAATTGAACGATTCAATTTCCACTGTCACCCGTCCGCCTCGCTCCGCTCCTGTTCAATCGGGGCAATCAACGGAATGACCGTTAAAGATTGCGAATTATTGGCTAAGAACATCGCCGACACCCCTTTCCCCTTCCGTTCCGTTCCCCGCTTTTCGTTGTTGCTATTATTCATCCGTGAAAATTACCGTCGCCCTCCGAAATCGGCGCTAGTGCACGCCGTCGAACGTTCAATTCCTCTTCGGCGCCGCGCTTCTGTTCTTATTGATTTATAGACCGACTCGCGCGTTACGCTTGATCCCCTGAAAGAAGCGTATTAATTTTTCGGCGGAGAGGTTTGATTGATTGAACGAGAACACAGGTTGACGGCAAATTGACTCTCCGTTCTACTATTTTCTTGATAGAACGCTTGCTCGAAAACAACGCAACGGAAAATGTCGGCGGAACAATGGTACTATAATCGCGCGGGATTGATCAACTTGTCAGCAGCTTGCGAAAACAGTTATCGGCTCTCTTCGATTTCATTCCAGACCCGCAGAGAGATCCGTTTCGCGACAATTTATTCAAAGAGATCCGCGGTGAACGCGATCCCTTGCGACGTACCAATCACGGATCGATTATCAACGCGAGATCCGCCGATAATTGATTATCAACGCGAAATCCGCCGATAATCGATTGGAATCGGTTCGTCCGTATTTCCCGGCGCGCCGCGATAAATCGCGCAGACGAATAAATAAAACGCGACGACGAGGATATTTCCGCGGGCCGTTCGCCGCGCGATTTATCGCGGCCGGTGTTCTTGATACGGCGGGCCGCGAAAATAATTCCCTTGGCCGTACGAAAATATTAGCGCTTTGTGTTACCGCGTCGTGCCGGTGACTTCCGGCCCCGGCTAAAATAAATAATCGATCGGGGTCGATCGCCGGCCCCGCGGAATTATATGAGGTAATCATTAATGGGCCGCGCGCGCGGCATCCACCGCCGCGCCGTTGTCTCGCAATCACGTACGAGTTTCATTGTTTACGGAGCACAATCGTCCCGCGGCATTAATTAATGCGTCGACGGCATATACACGCGATTAGCATTATTAATGCACGATGCCCCGCGTGCGCAGCCGAGCAATAAACGATTGTCTAGGTCGTAATGCAGGATTCCCGGTTTTGCGCAATATAAACTTTATTGTTGCATGTTATGCCTGTCGGCCTGTGTGCGATTCTTCTCCTGTTCTGCCAACCTGTCCGCCTACGACCCGGCTACCTACGATCCCGCGTTCCTATTGGAAATACACGAATTTATGCGTGTAAACGTTCGGCCGATTCACGCGGCGGCCGCGCCGACCCTCCTTTCGGAGCGGCGCGGCTTCATTAATCGAGTCCGGCTTTACGCCCCCGTGTCGTTATTAAACTCTATCCCAACTGTATCATAAAGTCTCGGTGACTTCGCGATGTTTCAGCCGTAGCCGCCATCGACGACGTCGCGCCGTTTTCCGTGTAACCCTTTGATACGTAAATACGGCGGACATTATTGGGCCGGCGCGCGATAAATCGAATCCGCGCCGCGTCCCGCCGCGATCCCCGCGTTCGCCCGATTTACGGCTTGATTTCCCGTTAATTCGTATGATTTGCGGCGTCAATATTTAATCCACCGCCTTCGATTTACGGCCGCGCTCTATCGATTGCAGTTTTTCCCTCCTTTGCGTTCTGCCGAACGCTTTCGCTCTTGGGGCGCTTCAATTTCATCGTGAAGCTACTTGTGTGCTACTTACTGTTAGCGTAGTGGGTCAAGGCTTACACCGTGTTTATCCGTGTGTAACAGATAATCAATTACGATAATGTGCGAATTCTATCTGATAAAATCTAATTTGATACATCAAGAACTCAAAGTCCCTTCTCAAGGGGAGCTGATCAGAAAACTAATCAGCAATGATCGCTTGGCCTCCTCCCCCAGCAGCACCACCGCCATCTTGCGACACCGTGCGCGGCCATTTTTCCTCCGCCGAAGCGGTACCAATAATCTCATTAATTTCCATTACGGATATTGCAACGACTCAATGCTCCGTGGCACTCCGTCTCCCCGCTTCCTCGCCCCGTTGAATTAATTGTGAAAAAGGTATCTCTGTTCTCCGCGTTGCTCGTGTCCTCCATTCATCTCCACCGGCCCCCCGTCCAGCCCCGCGCGGCCGCCAACGTTTCACTCTCTTTCATCCTCCGTGCGCTGGTTCTTTCTCCGTTTCCCTGGCCGCGTGTCCGCCATCTCGCGCCGGCCGGCTACAACGCGGCTACAATGTTTTTTAATTTAATTAACGCGGACTCCGCTTCGCGTCATTCCGCGAGGCCGTTGTTTCCGGTGGCGCCGTACGTTACGAGCGATTATCGTATCTCGCGCAGGAATTAGCGGCCGTGTCGGCGCTCTCTTTTTTCGCGTTCTCCCTCCTCTCCCTTCCCGTTTTTTCTCGCCTTTTTCCCCGCCTTTTTTTACACCCGGCACTGAATACACCGGCACGCTTCCAATTTGCGAGCCACCGTCGAACCGATTGCTTTCACTCGCGCGTACCGCTCTTTTTTCTCGCGCGCGTTGCGTTTATACGATTCTTTCGCGCGCGCCGCGCGTCCTCGAGGTACCGGGGACAGGAACGGCCGGGGAAAAAGGGCGAAGGATCCTGTACGCGTAACACGGCCGGCCGTCGACCGAGCCGTTAAGTCTCGCGACGGATTGACGATAAATCGATGACAAATCCGCGATTCATAGGCGTCGCATCTGCTGAAAAGCTCGCCGATCGCGACGGTGCCTCGCGTTTGTTTCCGACCCCGCCACCCTCTCGCCGCGATGATTGATTGCTGTTGCGACGGATAAATACGGTTCGTCGTGCTACGGACGCTGACGGACACCTAACTTTATCACCCGATACATTCGCCAGCCGCGGACGCGGAATTTCGAAAAATGTTTATGCGCGACGTCGCACCGGCTCGCGGTTTTTCCACGCTTTTTCGCGCGGCCGGGGTAACGTCGAAACCGTTTCCGAGCTCTCTCGTCTCCGACCCGAATTCGACCATCGACGCTCGCGTGTTTTCGAGCCGACGTTGCCTTTTTTCCCCCGCAGCTTTCCCCCTTTGTGATTCGCGGGAATTTCGTCAAGTACTGGAAGAGACGCGAACGTTCGGGCAAGCGGAACGGCCGCGAACGGACCGGTCGGAGGGAAGTTCGCGTGCAATTTCGAAATTTTTCGGCCCGTCCTTTGATCTTTGATAATGCTACAGGGAAGAGCGCACTTGCCGGTGATGTAACGGTTCGAGTGGCATATTCGATGGCTTTGTCCAATACCGCACGCAATTCCCGCGCCACTTTTAATTTTCATCGATCGGGCATTTCATTTTCGTTGATTGCGTGAACCGCCGGTATCGCGGCCGTGATATATTCGCGGACCGCCGCTGATTAATTTCTGCTCATCGGCCGGTTGTTGCGTTCAAATTGAGCGCTGCCTCGGACCAATCCGTTTTTCAGTCTATTCGACACACGATATTTGCCTCGTACAAGAAACGGTGAAACTCTATACCCACACTTTATACAGGAAAATTATCCAACGCATCTACACATACATATTCCTTTAATTAATTACAATATATAATCTCTCATACGTGCTTAATAAAATTTTCCAATAATCTTCTCACATTACTTATCCAAGAAGAAACATAAAAATCCACATGTCTCAAGAAACCCTTCCGAAAAACGTTTAAATTCGAGTCGCCAGGAACTTTCCAACTCGAGCGCCGATTATCTGCGCGAAGTCCAACGGCGATAACTCGCGCGCGGTGTCGCCGGCAAAGAATGAAATTTCGTGCGTCACTCTGGCCCACTTTATTACTCGTTCACGTGCGCGGCCCGCGTCGGTGTGTGCGGCAGACATGCGCGTGCACGCGTGTGCTCAGCGCGGAAAGGGGTCCCGGGACGAGAGGGTTGGCCATCGGGGTAACGACAGTCATTTTTAACCCTTTATGCCGGGAGGGTCGAGATTAAAGGGCAGATTTGCCGCACGATTTGCCGGCGGAGTCTCTATCGGCGCGCGGGAGGAACGGCGCGGCGACGCCGAGCGTAGCCGTCGACGAGGACCATTTCCAGTTGACTGGTGAACAAATTTCAGGCTCTCCTTACCGTTCTGCCGATGATCAAATCAAAAGCGTTCCCGATGCCGCGCCCCGGCTCGGTGTTCACGGCGGTGGTTAATGAGGGAAAACCAATTGCTGACGTGGAACGGCAGCTTCTTGCCTCGGAGAGTGTCGGGTATCCGTCAGGGGCAAGACGAGGGAGGAACGTGTCCCTAATGTGTCTCGAAATTATCGGTGCCTGACGAGTTGGAAGATCGATTGACGGGAATTTTCGATCGCGCGCTCGCAGATGCAACTGAACATTTGGTGTTTCAGGCTTTGAACGGCTCTGCGATTAGAGAATTAACGCTAGAACTACCGTGCCAGTCGAAATGACCGGTATATGAAGATCTCAGAGGCATTGGATACTCGAAATGATCTTGGAAATAAATAGCTCCACTTGAATACTATAATGAATGTCCGAAGAAACCGAAAATAATCTATTGTTACATTTCTTATGGGGATTACGTATTAATCATATGAAATGCTCTAGTTCTACTGTTGAAGAAGGAACACTCGGCGAAGCGTTGAAAATAAATCGATGATCTTTCGTTTAGTGAATACTAATCTCCCTAAGTGTATCGTGATATTCTTACTCTACTAATAAAAGCAACAGCAATTACTCGACAATGTCAAGATTCAATGATTCGAAAGCGAAAACTTCGAGTACTATATACTCTCCATTAACACCACCTTCACAGACATATATTACGCATTGTAACGCATTGTTTCAGAAGCTCCAGGAGTCCCGCAAAAAGAAGGATAAGAAGACTCAACGAAAACATCCCCATTTCCCCCAAACCGATCGGCGCAGCGTTTTCCAAGGGGCGTTTAGTCTAACCCCGTGACGTTCCCACGGCGAGAGGGGCCGATGAAAAAGGTAATTCGCGATGTTGATTCATTTGCGCGGTACCAAAGCGGAGGAACGATTGTGATGCAAAGTTTATAAGCAGCCGACGCGGTGCGGCGGCGCGCGGTCGGGGGTCGAGGGGCGAGGTAACGAGGCGAAGGACATCGTTGGCGGAGGACTGTCGAGTAAACCGTATTCTCTCGCTCCCTGTCTCTCTCTTGAGGGGCTCCAAGAGTGGAATACGTAAATCTGTAGCTGGGAAGCGAGCCCGGGCGAGATGGTTGAGCCGAATGAAGAAAGGGGTGGGACAGGCTCGGGGTAAGGGAGAGAGAGGGTCGGTTTGCGAGGCGAGCAGACAAGAGACTGGGATTCTTAACGGAGAGACCTTGACTCGAGGAAACGAGCACTCCGCAATTCGATTGGCTCCGAGCGGCATCGTGCATATTAAGTCGGCGTTATTTGAATGTCAAAAGTACCCCGGGACCGGTGACTCTCTCCGTCTACGGTTGGATACGAACGAGGGAAACGAGAGAGGAAATACGCGGCGGCGGCGCGCGAGGTATCCGTGGGGGTCGATTTCGGGGCAGAGACGGTGACAGGGCGGCCGGGCGGCGGAAAGGGGAATTTCTTGGTGCCGATACGACGGGTATAATTGAAAATATATTCGCGTCGCCTCCGTCCTCCTTATCCCCGCTGTTTCGCCGGTCGACCGTGTGACGCGGCGAGAAGGTGATTTAAAATCGGGGGAGCGGAAATGCAAAGAGGCGCGGGACGGACGTGATAAATTACCGACGACGGAATTTATTGCTATCCGATTCGGTTTTGATCGAACGTCAATTACCTCGCTGCCGTTTCTTCCCTTTTTTTCATTCTTTACCGGTGCTCGCAATGAAACGAAGAAACCGCGATCCCTGTTTCCAGGCGTTTTAAATTCGATTAAAAATCTTTGGTCCCAACTCGATACTGTGAAACGTGAAATCGGGTGGTTGCTCGTTCGTCGGGTTTAACGGGTTCCAAGGTTGCAAGACGAATCGATTATTTTGATGAATTCGTGTCGAGTTCTTTTGGATTGATGAAGTTTCGATGGAATGTTGTTTTGTTGCTGGGTGTTGCGGTGAGACTGTTGTTTCAGGCATGAAGCTCGGTTTCCGCGTCTTCCGGTGGAAATCGGCGGCTCGACGTACGTCGTAGGTCGGTATTATGAGTTACTTTTGACGAAAAACGCGGTTCTCGTTTGCATTGCGGCGGGACCGCCGGTCACAGCCACTGTTTTGGTGTGTCATTCTGCGGCGCGGCGAGCCATCTCGGAAATAGAAATCTCATCTATCGGGGACCAGCCGGGATACCGCAGGATACTATATCTCCCTTCTCCAGGATTAATTAAGGCACTCTCCGCTGGTACCACAGGTACCACAGGCACTCCTGGTAGGCAAATCAATCGATCAGGTTTACCACCTTACCGCGTTACCTCGGAAGCAATTGACATTCTGGATGCATTTTGTATTTTCCGTCGTCCCTAATTAACCCCGAGTACCTTCGGGTATGTCGGTCAGCCTGCGGCTATTGTTACGTTCACCGTAGACGGGGAATTCTTCAGGATATTTTCTGCTTTACGTGCTTTGTAATTTTCTCCGCTGTAATTCGCTCTTTCACCGTTCCCGAGGTATATAACGGATAATTAATCAAGAATCACTGTTAAACATTTCAATTCACAAGTATATAATTCGTAACTATCCGATGAAACGGAAAAGTATCAATTAATACGCCATTAACTAGAATTCTTATTATAGGTCTGTACAACCTTAATTCATTCGCCAAATCAATTTAACATTTTATTCCCCGCTGAAAATTTATACTCCCTATATTCCGACGTCTGCAACAATATTAAAATAAGTAAAATTTTAATATTCAATATTATTTAATACTATTTAATATTTAATATTAACCCTTAGCACACACTCCAGATGATTTTGTAAAAATGTTATATTGTAACATCTCTTAGATTTCTTTATTTTCCTTCTTAATACAAAATTTCGATGTATAGAAAATCCAGTAATCTTAGGGTAGTTCTTCGAAATTTATTTATTAAAATATTTAATATTATAAATGGTGTCATAGTGGAGCCTACAGAGTGCAAACGGTTAAACTCCTAATAATCAATACATGAAATACTGAAAAATACTGATACCATATTGTAGGTCAAGGAGTTAACAGTCATCCGCGTCAAATTAAAATACACTGAATATTCCTAACGAGCAACTTTCCGTAGCGAAGGGTGGGTCAACGGTGTTCAATGCGAGACGTGACCAGTCCGGCGCTCTTCGATTTCAATATTCCCGGGCCGGCGTAATATAATTAAGACGCAACAGGGCGGCGGGCGCAGGGGAGGAGAGCCTGAGAGGGTCGGCGGACAAAGGGACGGGCTGTAAACAGGCATAAGCGTTCCGCGGTGTCCGTGTTTGCCTGCGTGTAACGGCGATAAATTTAAATTTACCAGCGCCGCGGGAAGAAAAAAAACGAGCTAAATCTCCCGCAATTTCCGTCCGTCGGCGGCCGGAGGGGCGCGGGGTAGGGGCAAAAAACCTCAAGAGCTGAATTCAGCCGGGCGATGTATCATAATAACGTTCCCGCGGCCCATGGTAACCATGGCAGACAAGCTGCTCGCGATACCTCGTCGTTTCTTTGTCCCTGAGCCGCTTCAACGCTGCCGACGACGATGCGCAGGAATTTCTGTATCCGACGAGACTTCACCCCTCCAACCCTCCAGCCGCGCTGCCGGCCATGTATTTTCCATTGTTTCCGCGCACAGCGTGGAAATAGAATTAATGGGGCAGACCGTGAAAAATTCAGGGAACGATTGAACTTTAGAAACGGGTCAGGAGGATCCCGGTGACATTTGATCGTAATATCTCGCCGCCGCCTAGTTTCGTAATGAAGACTGACGAAATAAGCTTTCGCCCGCGAGACGTTTTATCGGGAATTCGTTTGCCGAGGGACGTTTTCATGGCCCATGGAGGTTGCGCGTTCGTTTAATGGAAGATTCCGTTTTAAGGATTTTATCGTGGATTGACCTTTGATTATCGACGTCGGTTCCGACGACCTGCGGAAATATTTAGCGGTACTGTAATTAATATGTTGGCTCGGCGTTCTTATTTAACCCTTCGCGCTCGGAAGTCTTTGACTAGAAATATTCAAGATTTTCCAATGAGTTATGGGCGACATTCTTTGAAACGAATTGAATGATAGAACATACATAAGAAACAAAGTTAAGAAATCATTTAATATTGTACTTCATTTCGCATATTCTGCACCTTAAAATCGTGCGGCATTCAACGTGTTAATAATTTTTTTTTAAATAACGTAAGGGATAAGTTTGATCAGTGCTTCAGATATGAAGTAGTTGTTCAGATTCTTTTGATTATCCAACTGCCGCGTGATCAATGTTCCGGTGTCTGTTACTCGCGAGTTTCGTGGCCGTTTCTCCATCACCGGGCGCAATTTATCAGGCGGGTTTCTTCATCTGGACGCGCTCAGGAGTTCGTTACCTTTTTCCTCCGGCCCGTGACAAGCCCGAAACCGTCCGAAACGGCGGGAATAAAAACGTGTCGCAACTCGATCCCATTCCGCTCTCTTTCCTGTCCTCTCATTACTCGTTTCATTTCTCATTTTACAACCGTCAAACTAATAAAAACCGTGCCCGTACATCTGTGTACATTACAGAAATGACGCCGATAAAAAGTAAACAGTCCATTCCACGTGCAAATCATTGGTCCAGCGATTCCACGCTTCCTGTACGGAATCTGTCCGCGAAGGTTTATGGAAATCGTTGTCCATACCGCGACGTCTCGTTTCCCTTCTTCATAGGCATTCGAACACGAGCTTCGCTTCATTACTACACACTTTATCGAAGCTTGTATCTTTTACCTCTCGCTTTTCAGCGTTCCGCGATCAGCCAACAAATCTTCCCCACCGCGAATCTCGGATGATATTAACGCTCCACTTTCACCGGAGAAAATTTCCGAAACTTCACGGTGTTATCGTAGCACGCGAATATTGGATTTCAGGTCGAGGCGGTTAGAAACGTTCGAGCATCCGCGCGGCGAACGGGATCGGATAAATCATTCAGTTTGCTGAAGCGGCGGGCGTTAAGCTGTAAAACGCGTCGTGTTCGAATAATTTCATAAAAGTTCGCGTCGCCGCCTCCCGATTCCCGACCAAACCGAACCGCGGAACGTTAACGTTAATTATAAATTCCATTGGAATAATGGTAACGAGGGCCAGATATAGAGGGAGCAGGAGCGAGCGCGACGGGAGCCCGGGAGGAGAGGAGAGGGACAGAGAAAAAAGGGTGAAGTCCGTGGGAATAGTTCCAAATGGGAGCCATTAATTTTACTCATCCGCCTCGCGGCAACTCGCCGCGTAATAACGAACGTGAAACGATATGAGAAAAGTTGAGATACCTGTCCGGCGGTGGCAGCCATCCTCTTGCGTCAGCCCCATCCCATCGGTGGTTAACGTGAAATCACGTTTACGTAACCGACCATCCTTTCTACCCCGTTCTACCCATTTTCCTTTTTTTTACGCCGCATCTGTTGCCTCGGATTTACGATTTCCTAAGCCACCCTGCCCGGCGTTCCGTCTTCTTGATTCCGCGACGTAAAGCTCCGGGATGCTTGCTTATCGCTGCTCCCTGAGAAGCTCGGGCTTTGCTCCGATTTTATGGTACCGCGCGTTCCTGCCGTGGATTTTTAATTATGCATTCGGCGGAACGAGCTGGGTGGCTATGTTTCTTGATGTTGCGCAAAAAGTGAATGAATATTTTTCGTTTAGCTTAGTTGCTTAGCCTGGCGAACAGTTCGAGTTGTTTAAGAATTCATACGATATACTGTATAAACGTTTGTTCTCGATAATATCAACCCTTTGCACTCGGGAGGTGACGCTCAGTCACCACTTGATCTCCTACAGTAGCTATAAAGTTTGATATTTAATATTATATATTTAATATTGACGTAAAATAGGTTTGTCCGTCA